CTTGTTCAAAAAATCGTCTATTGGGATCTTATTATTTTTTTCATGTCTGGGGATGTGATAAAGAATTGGTCTATTCATTTCATCCTGGAATAGACCGATTCTATCATAGGCTGTGAAGTATTGGGGCTTTATGTTGCCACACCTAGCTCTCTGAATTGCTTCCGGGTTCTCGAATTTTAATAAATTTTTTATTGTTTCGTTATCGATATCCTTCATTTTTTCGTAATAATTTTGGGCCAGTTTCATCATGAAATTATCGATTCTGGGAATCTTGGCACGATCGTATAGGTATTTATATCATAGATACCCAGAATTACGCGATTCTAACCTTGCTTCGCTCGGTAGAATCGCGGATTCTGGGCCCTATGACATAAAATAGTATACGAAACTCGTGCGTAATGGTGTTTTTTGACTCGTGGGATTGTAAAATTCGCCTTCGGCTCGTTTTACAACTACCCACGAGCCAAAAAACCCATTAAGCACTTGTTGCGTAATATACTATTATTTCTAACTTGATGTTGGTAGTTGGAGTGTTTTGAGCGGTGTAAAAACAATGAGGTTCTTAAACATTTTCTTTCAAAGACCCTTAATGATTCACATTGGTGGGGACCCAAATTCCATAGAATTTCGACGCCATAAGTTAGTAAGGGTCTTATTAATAATAAATAGCAAATCACTCTTGCACGGGTGTTTATGTATTTATTATGGAATAGGTATCCCAGTGATTTGTATCTGTTTTTAGCTTTTTCAATTTGTATGTCAATATGCTCTGAACATCGTGTTAGTTCATCGATGTTTATTCCTAAATATTTGACAATTTTTTTGCGAGGAATGATTGATTCTACGTTTGTGACGCTATCTTTGATTTTAATTTGAAATTTGTTGATACTATCTTTTTTTTTTTTGGTCATATTTACGTTAGGATTGCGTAACAGAATCATTTCACTCTTGTCTGCATTGACCATGAGATTCCAGACCGAGTACATTTCATTAACCCGCTCGATGATCGGATTTAATATTTTATTGATTTCTTCGCCATTTGTTATATCGTATTTTTCTTTGAGATCAATTGAATAGGACTCCCAGTTAGTTTGTTTGTATAAATAATAATCTTTTTCTTGGTGTACTGGACAATTAATTAAGAGATCGTCGTTGACATCAAATTCTAATAAGATAGCTTTATGATCGCTATCATAAGCTAAAGTTCGAATTCTTTCATTGACCAAGTTTTTGACATTCAGTCTGGAATCAATTAAGGCAAGATCCAGAAAAGATTGCGACTCCATGTACGTAAAATCAGCCGGTGGGATGAGATTGATTTTATACCTTTGATCGTTCCTCGATTCCCAGTCTCGGAGATGACGGCCACGATCGTTACTTGAATGATCTCCGAAGTCCAGATGACGAGCGTTGAGATCTCCTAGCATGATATAATAGTTGTTGATTTTTCCCAATTTCAGATTCTCGAACAAGGCGTCCAATTCGTTTAAGAAAATTTGCTTGATCTTTGTCGCGTTGGTGGCGTATGTGCTTACAAAAAAAATAGATTTGTTATTTTCCGAAATGATTTTTATGATAGTAAATTGCAGAACTTTGTTGTTGATAGAGTTAGGATAGTTAATAGTCGTAAATGGAATAGATCTATTAATAATAATTCCAGTACCACCAGAGAATTTGGAACTGCTTCGGTCATTTCGTATGAAATCGTAGTTATCGAAACTAATTTTATGATTTTTATTTAATTTTGTTTCACCTAATAGTGTGATATCGATTTCATTGTTTTCAATGAATTTTTGTAGATAGTATCTTCGTTGTTGTCTTGCAATTGAATCGACATTGATATAGGCAATTCTCAAATTCTCTATTTTGAATTGATTATCAATATTTTCTGTTATGTTATAATTATTCGTGTTGTTGACCATTGTTATTGGTGTTTAGGTTGAGATGTTCTAAGATTTTTTTTATATTTTCAGTATTTGTGTTTACTTGACCTGAGATTTCGTTAACTTGCCCTGATATTTCAGAGAATTTGATCTTAATCGCTGTGAGGATTCAATCTTTCATAATATCCGCCCAAGGGGGTGGCGTTCCTCCGCTCCTACTTGAGTAGGATAGAATAGAATTTCCCGAAGATTCCAAAAAGCTTCATTGTTCTTCGTGTATGAAAAATGGGGATTTTCGGGAAACTCCTTGCGATCGCAAGACTTTTACCAATTTATTTTTCTCCGTGTGACGTCCGTATAGAAGATCAAAAAATCGATTTAACAATTGGATAAATGGAGTGGAGAGAAAAACGTGAATATCTCGGAAATTAGATGCAACAANGGATCACTGGAGACCAACGAAAACGTTCCAACCGTTCAAACGAGTTGGAATGTTTTCTCTCTCCTTCTTCTCCATTTTCTCTCTCACTCGCACTCGTTATGTTTGGCGGAGGATGGGCACGTGCCAACGCGACGGAGACGACAATGAGTGGGAGCGAGCGCGATACATATTCCTTTCTCACTCAGGGGGGGGAATAAATATATATAATGGAATATTACTATAGTAAAAAAAAAACAAAATCTGCACAATTATTCAATAGAATCACTGGAAAACTATAGAGTTTTCCAGCGACAGCGCTGGCATTTTCTATGAATTTTCTGACGTACCTGTCAATAATAAATATGTCTAGAAAAAAATCACGAAAGAATTTTTTTCCGCGAAAAATTTCAAGGACTCGCGGAAAAAACCCTTCTGTTTCTCCCGAAGCCCCCGTTCTTGAGATAAATAGAAATCTTCCAAAGTGCAATTATTGGTGGAGAGAAACTNCTGACGTACCTGTCAATAATAAATATGTCTAGAAAAAAATCACGAAAGAATTTTTTTCCGCGAAAAATTTCAAGGACTCGCGGAAAAAACCCTTCTGTTTCTCCCGAAGCCCCCGTTCTTGAGATAAATAGAAATCTTCCAAAGTGCAATTATTGGTGGAGAGAAACTCTCCAGATGTTTGGAATAATCCAGTGTTCTTCAATTCTTATCTACGGAGGTTTTTTCTTTAACCCTAGTCTGGTCACCTGACGGGAAAATGCCACTTTAGTCACCTTCGCGTGAAAGTGCCGCCATGTTATTTAGGCTCCAGCGTTGCCGAATCCACTCTACACTTCCCGGGCGCATTTAGCGAGTTCCCAGCAACGTTGCGCAACAGGCAATTTCATTTAACGCGGGAAAAAATTGTTCACCTGTTGGAAAAATTTTTTTTTCTCGCAGAATTAAGGATACAATATTGAAAAAAAATACTGGAATTTTCCAGATACTTCAATTGACAAATTCAATTTTTCTCAAATTTTCCCGGTCAACCAATCGATGGCAAGGTGAATAAAACGACGTGTTGCGGCAAGTCTCTCGCATGGTGACCAGTCTAGGGTTAATAATTGAAGAAGTATGTAGAACAAAAATTACATAGGCCACGGCTTCTGGAACTCATAGTAATCTCGAGAAAGAACCTCGACAGACGTGCCGGCGGAAGCTGCCCCATCAGTTGCTGAGCACGTACTCCACGTTGGCGGGCACATTCCACGCACTTGAGATTGAAGGATCTTACTGGCGATCTTCCTCCAATAATCGAGTAAGACCTCCTGAGATGCGCCAATGTGAGTTCAGTTCCACCATGCAACGTACGCTGATGAGAGTCCCTAATGAGAAGTTCAGCCAGCTCGGAATCTTTAGGGACGATCGCTTGTTGTTTACTCTCTAGGTGCAGGTTAGAGAACTTCAATCTCCCGCCCATTCGGAGAACAGCTTGATGGTCTGTGAAGGCAGTCAGTTTGGTCAACGGATGAGACCTTCCAAGTTGTTGACCACGATAGATCATACTGCACTCCGACTACAGATAATGAGCCTGAGTGGCTCTGACCCAATACAGCCTAGCTGCCTCGATGTCATCAGAACTGAGTGGATCCACGAGAGTTTCACCTGGTTTTTTCCTCATCCGAGCAACAACACGTTGACAAATTGCTGTTATGCGCAGCAATTTGTAGAGAGAGGAGTACTTGGTGATGAGATCCCAGAGAGTAGAGCCCATCGAAACGGTAAATATGGATCCGGGCTTCTCTTCCAGATTTGCTGACGGATCCAGTTTGACATTCTCTTTTGGCCACTGAGAGGAGTCTAACTGCAGCCACCTTGGACCCGTCCACCACAGCTTATTAGCACTGAGTTGAGCCACAGTGATGCCCCGAGAAGCACAATCAGCAGGATTCTCCTTACCGCTGATGTACCGCCATTTTGCTCCTACCACCAGCTCCTGTATGTTGGCTACCCTATTGTGCACGTATTCCTTCCACCTGGAAGTATGAGAACTAATCCACGCTAGAGTAACAGCTGAATCTGTCCACAGGAACACAGGAGCGTTATCAAGGTTGAGTTGAACACGCACATACCTTGTGAGTTTCGCCAGCATGACTGCGGCGTTGAGCTCAAGTCTCGGGATGGTGAGCTGCTTGAGAGGAGCCACCTTGGTTTTAGCAGTAGCTAACGAGATACTCACGCCATCCGAGCTTGTCACCTTCACATATACCACCGCAGCCATCGCTGTTTGCGATGCGTCTGAGAATCCGTGTATCTCCACCAGAGCATCCTTCTTCACTCCGAGCTAACGAGGAATGGAGATATTTTCGACCTGAGACAGCTTCTTACGGAATTGGGTGCATTTATCCGAGATTTGTGGTGAAAGCGCATCATCCCAGTCCAGCTTCTCAACCCAGAGACGCTGTAGGAGTGCTTTTGCTCTAATCACCACAGGAGAAAGTAGACCTAGAGGGTCGAACAACTGAGCTATCTCAGACAACATATTCCTCTTCGTCACCTTTGAGTTGGCCGGAAGGTGAATTGAGAACTTGAATTGGTCTGTGTTTGGATCCCACTTCAGACCAAGAATCTTCGTGGTGGAATCCTCTAGCGGCTTGTGATCCTGAGAGACACCTTTTGAATTCAGAGATTTGAGTGGAGACGGACTGTTGCTATGCCACTGCTAGAGGGAAACCACCAGCTAAGCAAAGATCCCTCACTTGCTTGGAGAATTCTAGAAGGTCACTCTCCTCTTCAGCACCACCACAGATGTCATCCACGTATCTTTCACTGGTCAGCGGAGAGATTGCTAGAGGAAAACGACGTCCTTCGTCCGCGACCAGTTGGTTGAGAACTCTACAGGCTAAGAATGGGGCCGATTTAGTCCCGTAGGTCACGGTGGTGAGCTGGTAGGTGCTGATCTGACCTTGAGAATCCCGCCACAGAACCCGTTGAAGAAGCCAGTCCTCACGAAGCACCTTGATTTGACGGAACATCTTCGCTATGTCCGTCATGAAAATGTACCTGCTCCGCCTGGATGAGAGCAGCACATCAGAGATATTCTTCTGCAGTTTGGCTCCAGTATGTTGGATGTCATTGAGAGATACTCCTGAGCTGGTCTTACTAAAGCCATTGAAGGCTACCCTCAGCTTCGTTGTTTCACTACTTTCCCTGAGAACACCATGATGAGGAAAGTAGTACATAGGAGTTGACGAATAAGCTTGCCTCTGAACAGAACACCGAATGGAGACACGAGCCGACTGCTTCTCCTCAGGGACCCTCAACCCTCCTGAAGCCGAAGCCCCATGTGCCACGGTCATCCCCTCAGATCGACAGCCGACCTTCACGCTCCCGGCATTCCTCGAACCAGTTAAGGCTGGAACACGCACCATGTGTCCCAGATCTTCGTACTCCTTGAGAAAAACACTATATAGCTGAAGGGTCCGTTGATCCCGCTCCCTTCTCCGGAACAGGCTGGAGAGACACGCTTTAGCCCGACCATAAGAGTCGCCAAGCTCTGTCGGAGAACGTGCAAGAGGCAGGCGAACCACATAGCGCCCTGAGCTGTCTCGTGAATGGGTGCGCTGGAAAAACTCCTCACATTCTGCCTCTTCTTTCGTGAGATCACTATCCTCGGCTTTTGGGACCTCCTCCTGCAGCCAGAACGAAGTGAGAAGGTCGTAGAGTTCCTCGTTGCTGACTGCAATGTGACTAGAGCTGGCCACCATTGGAATCATCGCTGAAGTAGGTCCTAGTACCACCCAACCGAAAATAGGGTGCATTGCTATAGGGGAGTCTGAAGGCCCCTTAATGATCTGTGGCTCCACAATTGATCCGAAGAAATCCACGCCAATGAGAAGGTCAATAGGTCTTGGCTCCATGTATTCCGGATCAGCTAACTTCAGTCCCTCGGGATGGCCTCAAGCTTGAGTATCCGAAACTGCGAACGACGGCAACGATGATGTGAGATGGTCACGAATGTAGGCCTTAATCTGAAGATGCTTGTCTGAGTGCAGAGACTTCAGACAGAACTGAGAGAATTCCTTTGAGAATGACCTTGATCCACCAATACCAACGACAGGTAGCAAAGCTGGAGACTTTAACAAACCTAGCTTTACCGCAAGACTATCTATAACAAATTATAACTCAGATCCAGGATCCAACAGCATCCGAACTTCACAGCAACAGTCATTCTCTGAAACGAGAGAAGCTAGCGCTGTTGCGAGAAGAACACCTGGTCTGAGTTGAGATGACGATTCATGAACTGATAATGCTACAGATGGAGAATCATTTGACAGCGACGGCCGTAGAGAACGTTCTGAAGTTACCGGAGCCGCTATCGTTGAAATCGTTGGTTGAGAAGATCACTGCTGCACTGATGAAGGCCCCGGAATAGCGGACTGTATAGGACGAGTACCAGACTGAGACCACTGACCTTGAGACTTCAACTGGTCTGGTTGAGATGTCTCCAGAGGACCATTCTGAGGGCGTGTGATGTGGATCATCGAGTGGTGACGCTTATGACACACGACGCACGTCTTCATGGTCCTACAGGCACGAATGGAGTGCTTCCCCAAGCAGTTTAAGCAGAGGTACTTCTTTTCGACAAACTCCTTCCTCTTTTCCGGCGACAACTGCTTGAATTTGGGGCACTTATCGATGAAATGCTCATCTTCACACATGGAGCAGGCATTGGCGGTCATGTCTGCCCACGACTGCGAACTCGACCCGCGTGCCTGTGGAACTGCACTGCCAGTTGAGACATTCAGCACCTTTGCTGGCTTTGCTCTGGGTGGTTGAGAGGGCACACTCGAAATTGGCGTCTTGGGAGCGTGCAGAGGATGCAGCTTAATTCTCTCCCTAGCTCTTGCTCTGCTCAACATGAACTCCCTGAGTTCCGCGTACGTTGGAAAAGTGGTGGTGGATCCGATCTTAACTTCCCACGCCTCCAACGTCTTAACATCCAACCGGCTTGAGATGATATGCACCAAGACGTCGTCCCAGTGTTCGACAGGGCGCCCCAACGACTTCAGGGCATTGAGAGCTTCGGTGGTGGAGTTGAGGAGAGCATTAAACTCCTTGGCCGTACGGTTGACGATCCTCGGAGTGGAGAACAACCTTTCCAGCTGGGTAGAGATGAGGACACGTTCATTGTCATACCTCGCGATAAGCATATCCCAGGCTGGAATGAATGAGTTTTGAGCTACTGGCAGAGTTGAGATCAACTGTTTTGGCTCGCCAGCAAGAGAAGTCAAGAGATAATGAAATTTCTCGACCGTAGAGAGGTTATTGTTGCCGACGACCATCGAGAGGAAAAGATCTTTGAACGGTGTCCACTCGGAGAAGTCCCCTGAGAAGGTAGGCAGCGAGATGTTCAGCAACTGCCTTTGAGTCACCTGAGCAGACGGAGCTGATGCAGCGGGTCGACGAAACGACTCCGAGAGGTCCGCGGTCTCATCAATGGCCTTGATTAGCCCAATGAATGACGTATGAGCTGTGGAGTACCGCTGCAAACAGACATCGTATACCCCCTGCTTCACGTAATCGTGCTCGAGCACCTCCGCGCTATCCTTATCAGTGAGTAGTCTCACATGCTGGTCCTCGAATCGGCTCCAGTAATTCTCCAGAATATCCAGCTTCGACTGCAACTCCGTGACTGAGAGCTCCTTCACTGCCGCTGACGATGATTCCGTATACAGAGACTCAATAAACTTTGGCCTACTGGCTTGAATAAATATTCTCCCTGCGAAAGATATGCTCATCCGATAACAAATACAAATTCAGCAAGCAGAGAAAGCACCAACCAAAAAAAATCGTAAAGAACGCAACAGTGGAGAAAGCACAGCCAATAGCGGAACAAAATTGAAATCAAGCAAAAGCAGCAGCAAAGTTCAGGGAAAATCAGTAGCGAAAAATAATAATAATAATTGACTTCCCTGTGAGAAGGTTCGACGGCAGCAGTGATGGTCGTAGAACTTCAGCAAACAGCGAGAAGAAAAAAAAAATCTGCTTCTGAACTGCTGGAGAAAATATCAGGGCGCACCAGGTTGAGTGTCACTGCTGGAGTCCCATAATTCAGTGGCGCGCACAAATGTCAAAAGTCTAAGATGAGCACCACTGCACTGCTACGTCACGCAGGGGAGGAGCCACGTGGGAGGGGTCGATGGGCGGAGTCGGTGGGTGGAGCAAAGGAGGTGGAACCGACACACGAATTCCCGCGCTTTTCCACCGACACCACACGCACTAATGTTTCACCAAAAACCCAATGTTCACTTTTCCCGATTTATCCGGCTCGAAGGACCAAATGTTTCGGCGAGAGTTAAACAAAATCCGATAGAGAGCCGGGATTCAGGGAAAGGGTAGAGAAGTTCACAAAATAATATCTGACACAGTGCGCGTGGGTAGAGTCACAATAAAACTGTATTTTTCTGTTAAAACACAGAACTCAGTCAAAAAATATTTACAAAAAAATAATCACTGTCAATTAATAATTGACGCGACAGACGTTAGAGAATTTTCACGGTTGAGATGTTCACAATAATTAACGATTTAATCGCGTAGAGAATTGCACAATGCACGCTTGTCACAAGGCGATTAGAGAAGACGGCGGAAGTGACGAGATGGACCAAGTGTCGCGGCGGATGTCGTCGATCCCAATTAATTGGACATGGTCGGTAACCCAGGTCCGTGTCCAGGAAGTTCTGCCGCTCGTTATCAGCGGACCAACCTACCGTGACGTGAGGCTGAAGCCTCAACAATGTGCTAATTTTAATTTATTCGTATGGACTATTTTCCTCTTAATTGTATCTATCGCAATCTCAGGATTCAATTTGCCATGCATACGAATTATTTCGTATGGTCCTACCCAGTTAAAATCAAATTTAGATGTCTTTGGTTCTTTACGTAAATATACTTGATCTCCTTCGCGAAACTCTTGTGGTTTCTTATTTTTATCATAATACATTTTGCTTCTTTTTTTGGCTTTTTCCAAATTAGTCGACGCCGTAGCCTGAGTGGTAGTTATCTTCGTGAAAAGGTCGTCGAGATATTGGACATAAGTGTGAGGAATTTTCTCTTTCATGAATTCTGACGCCATAGTGGCCTTTACGCCAAACACAAGCTCATGAGGGGTGAACCCTGTACCTTCGTGGACAGAAGTGTTGTATGAAAACATCCCGAATCGAATCCAATCGTCCTAATTAGTTTTACTACAATAGTGTTTGAGATATTCAACAAAAACGCGATGAGCTAGTTCGAGCGAACCAAGAGATTTCGGATGGAACGCTGTTGAAGTGATTGTCTGTATTTTGAAGATTTTGTAGAAATTCTTCATGATCTTCATGATTTTCCATTGATGGATACTGGGGAAAAGTTTTGGTGTAACTGTTTTCGTGTTGATTTCTACCTTTACTGAATTTTGTAATTTGTTATGAGACTCTAAACATTTATGAGTTGATGAGGTCATTCCTAACATGAATCGGGCTTGATGATTGTCGTCGGTGTTTCCCTCGTTGGTGAAATCTGTGACACACACCTGAAGCGGGGTCCTCTTCCTGGGATACCCATTATCGCCGGACAGGACGTTGTGTTCAACAGAAGTTCCACGTTTCACTCCCCTGGCCGGTGCCTGAAGCGGTGGTCCGCAGAAAACACCGTTAGCCAACAGACTCCCGTACCAGGGTGAGCTCGCCGCTTCCGTTGGACACGATTCATTTTCAAGTTCTTTAGAGATAGGTCTCGTTTCAAGAAGGGGTATTTCATTTTCATCTGCTGTTAAATATGCGTCACTGTCTGTGTCAGTGGTATCAGTAATTGATGATAAATTATTGAATGTATTTAATGCGAATGACTCGACGTCGACCTCATCAATCTCAGGCACCATGGTCCCACGTGCCAGGAACACAGCACCTATTAATTCTTCATTAATGTGAAATTGTTCATCTACTTCTTCATCCCAATCCTTATTAGAATCTAAAGACAAATGCTCGTTTGCGCAGTCGAGCATTTCCTTCAAATTCCCGGGATGTAGGGGTGTGTTGGTCTCTTCTGTCAGGTATACGTGGGGTTCAGGTAAGGAGTCTCTATGTGGGTCAGGAGGATTTCGGGAAAGGGCATCGGCGTTAGAATTTATTTTTCCCGGTTTATAGACGATGTTATAATCATACTCATTCAGTCGAATACGCCAGCGCATCAACTTAGAGGTAGGATCTTTTGCATTGTGCAGCCAAACTAAGGGGCGATAATCAGTGATTAGGGTGAATTGATGACCGTATAAGTAGGGGCGGAAATGTTCAACACCGAATAAAATGGCGGAGAGCTCTTTTTCGGTGGTGGAGTAATGGATCTCTGTATCTTTCAAAGTCCGAGAAGCATAAGCGATAGGAAGATCCTTACCAATGGAGCCTTGGCTCAATATTACGCCTACTGCGTAATTAGAGGCATCGGTTGTTACGAGGAAGGGTTCCGAAAATTTTAGGAATTACAAAAGTGGTTCCGAGCAGAGAATATCGCATAACTCTTCGAAGGCTTTTTGTGCTGAGTTGATCCAGATGAAAGCATTCTCCTTTTTCAATAAGCGAGTTAATGGTTTAGCAATTTTCGCCATATCCTTGATGAAACGACGATAATACCCTATAAGTCCGAGAAATTGTGTGATATTTTTCCACGTCCTGGGGACAGGAAAATTCTTCACAGCTTTGATTTTCTCTGGATCAGGCAAAACACCCTTGTCGGTGATTTTGTGACCCAAATAGACCAACTCGCGACGGAGGAAATGACACTTATCGGGTTGAAAAGTTAACCCTGCGTCTCGCAATCGCGCTAAGAGCTTCTTCAATTTCTGAGTATGCTGTTTAATCGAATTGGCATAGATGACGATGTC